CTCGTCGGTAAACAGACGATCATAGTCGTTTGATGAGTCCGTCGCCTTGGTATGTTCCGTATTCAGTTCAGCGCTGGGAACTTTAACGCCCTCCTCAGGAGCATCCACTACTCCGATCACGGCCGCAAAACAGGTTAGCTCTGACGCCTACCACGTCTTCCGTCTTTGTCTCGAGTGCCAGCTCAGCCCGTGTATACTTGTCGGACAACCCGTCCGCTTCCGCTTTTCCGTTGCACTCTTCCTGGGTCTTCAACGCATCCTCGGGACGTTCCGCTGTCCCTTGATCGGCATTCTGTGTCCTATGGGAACGATCCTTCGTCCCATCTTCACTCTTCAATGTCACCAAAGAGCTTTCCGCTGCTCCTTTCTGGGTCTTTAACGCATTTTCAGGACGTTCCGTTGTCCCTTGATCGACGTCCTGTGCCCAATCGGAACGATCCGTCGATTCACTCTCACACTTCCTTGCCATCAAGGAGCTTTCCGTTGCTCCCTCCTCTCGTTCATTCTCGTCTTCCGGTCCCCTCGTAGAGACTTCCTCTTCTCCTTCGTACTTCGAACCAGTCCGTTCCTTCAGACGGCTCGTTCCAATCACAACATCTGCATTTTCAATCGTCACGCTCGCAACAGGAACGTTCCGAGCGTTTACTCCAGTATTCACACCAACCTCGGGAGCCTTCTCAGGTCCACCAAATCCACTTAGCTGTGAACCTTCATCTCCTTTTGTGTCGCCAACCCGGCAAGAGGAAAGAGCGACACTTCTTTCCCCTCCCTCTTGCCCCCTTCATTGTCGGGACATTCCGGTCGGTGTAGCCGAACCTTGAGCAGTCGTCGTTCCACTTGCTGCGGCATTCCTCGAGAGACTACGTAGTTTCTCGATCTCGGGACAGTTGGTCACGCCATGACCCGTCTGTCGACAGAAGAAACACTCCGCAGTCCGACGATCTCCAAATTGATTTCCACTCGTTCTCCTAGGCAAGCTACACTCCATGGAGTAGTGACCAAATTGATTTCAGCTATTACACAGGCCTCTCGCACGAGGACACGTCTCTCGACCACACCCTTTTCGTTCGCAGCGTCCGCACACCACTTCTCCTTCTGCGGTACGAGTATCGGGGCCCATACGAATGTTGGGAGGCCTCAGTTCAGCACTCACTCCGCCATTGGAAGGACTAGTCGGTTTTGGATCGTTCGAAGCCACTGCGCCTATGTACCCATCGCTCGTTCCATAATGTTTTTGCACGTTCCGATTTAGCAGTTGCAGCTCTTGAAGCCCCTGTAACTCCGTCGAGGGTACATTCTTCGAGCCCAGGGGTTTCATTCCTTCCTCTGGAAGCTCATCGTCTTCTTCGATAGGTAGGTGGAGATTCTTGAACAACAGAATACGACAGGCTTGCTCAATAGACCCAATCATATTACCGTTCAGCACCGCTCGCATCTGTTTGTTCCTTATTCCTTCCAGGAAGAGCTCGTACCTCATGCGGGGTTCGGGTAAGTTCAGCGCGTCGCATATTGTCTCGAGTCGATCACCCCATTCTTCGGCCGACTCGCCTCGTTTCCTTGCAGCAGTCTTAAGGCGGGTCCAGGTTTGGGCCGGAGTCAGACAAACGAGCCGGTTGTGAAATCTGGAACGAAGGGACTCAAAGTTATGGATCCTCGAGTTGTACCACCATTCTTGTCCCTTCTTGCCTTTCAGACACTGTTCGAAAGCCGTCAAGCGCAGCTGATCGTCCATGCCCATCGCACACTTCTCGAACGAACGCCAAAACGCCGCAGCTCGTTCGCTTGAGGCCGTGTCCGAATAAAACGAAACGATAACTTTGACTGCGTTCCTCAATTCGTTCGGGATTCCCACCATCGGAGCGAGCCCTCGGCCATAGTCATTCGGCTCACGTTCCGCATATTGAGTCATGGGAGCAGTTGGGTGAGGCGTCGAGTATCTCGGGTATCGATCTCGGTCAGACCCCACGTTTCCACTGAGTCTCGGGTCTCCTTCGTGACTTTGGAACGATCTTTCGTCGGTCGGCTTCGCTTCCCAATTCAGCGTCCTCTCCGGTCTCGTTCCGGCCTGCATTGAAGGCGTAGTCATAGGCGCAGACGCGTAAGTAGGAGGCATCTCAATCGGGTTCCAGCCCGGCGGTAACATCGGACCAAACGGATTCGAGGACGAATATTGTCTCGGTGAGCCATACGCTCCACTTCCTTCGTACACTCGATGTGCTCGGTCGGAAGCCTTCTCATACAAAGGGATGGGAGTCGAGGGTCCGCCGGTTCGAACTTCAGGGTTAGATCGATACACGGTTTCTCCTCTCCCGGGACTACGGGTTCCACTCCTCGGGGATTCCAGTAGTCGATCTAACTCGTTTGTCGAGTGTCGAGGTGGAGCCCCCCACTCTCTCGACCCTTGCCCTTTCGACGAAGAGGGTTTGGCCCCTCCGGACACACTTGACATAGCCATTTGCTGCATGGCCTGGCCGATGGTGTTGACGATAAAGGCTTGAAGAGCCGGGTCCACCGTCGTCGTCCCTTCACTCGTAGGCGTCGCTCTGTCCCTTGCAGGGATCGTTCTCGGACTCGTGGGCGTCGTTCCTCGGTTCGTCGGCGTCGCGTTTGGACTAGTAGGTGCCGTCCCACGGCGTACCGTTTTGGTAGGAGCTGGCAAAGTCGCACTTGGCGCCCAGTGACGTTCCACTCTGCTCAACGGTTCAGCTTGCAAGTCAGTCGTACTTCGAAAGCGCGACCAAGATGCAGGAACGTCGCTCTCATACAGTCCTCCAACATCCTCCTCCCGCGGGTACTCAGCGGTCGTCGCCGAGGGCGCCTCCCGCCCAGTCTCGTCCATGTGCGTTAACGACGGTCGGGACGGATCCAGCGAGAACGACACTCCCCTTCGCGCTCCCGAACTTGTCGTCTCGGTCTCTCTTGCCTCTCGTAACCGCGCCTGCTCCTCTCTGGGAGTCGGTCGATCCGCTAGAGTCCCGAGGAACGCTTGGAAGCTGGCTCTGCCCTGGGGTGTCCCCAACATCGTCATGAACACTCTTCGGTTCTCTTCGGCTCGTGGTGACGCTCCAAACAAGCTTTCGTCGTCCTCCGGGGCCGCTCGTTCCCTCAGCCCTTCTGCCGCTCGTTCCGTTCGGACCTCGGCCGTCTCTCCGGATTCACCATGCGTTCTGGGATCCACTTCGCCGCCTTCGCCTTCCTCAGCTGGGGCATCAGCGATCTGGTCCTCGTCAGCATCCGCCAGGATCCGTGCGAGGCGCTGCTCTTCGTTCCCTATAGGATCGTTCCAGTTTAGGGAGCTCATCTCGTCCCGGCTCCCTTGCACCTTCGCTCGAGTACTTCGACACTAAGGTATTCCAAGCGGCTCTCTCCGCTTCTTCTCTTTTACGCTCCTACGAAAATTGGCTAGAAGATACCCTGCTTCTCCACCAAATTGTCGCGGTCTCCCTCTCTTGTCGGGGTCGTGTATCTTGTGAAAGCCGACGAAGGAACTTAGACGTTATTAGATGTGTAAAATATACTTGTTTCTTATTTGTTTTCTTGAGCACTTCTCGTAAAAGAAGGAAATTCACGACTGAGAGCTCCCTCATCAGTTCTCTACCTTGCCAAAGTACCTCCTACCAACACTAGTACCTCGAGTTGTCGTTCGTAAACGGAGTCAGCGTACCACTGTCTGAACTCCTTCGTTCCATTTTAGACGAGGGACGAGGCAGTCGATGACGGGGAACGGGGCTGATCGGGCTTGACACTCTTCTTACGCCGTTCGCTAAATTGCCGTAGGCAGTCGTCCAGAATAGCGAGTCCTTTCTCTAGCCGAAGACCGTGACACCGATGTGTCCATGTTTTCAACGCTACTGCAAAAGATTTGCGCATCCTTTGCCGGAATTGACGACATTCTCACAGGATGCCTGTCTGACATGCCGATGGGAGTGACAAGCTCGATGCATTGGTGTGATGACACCGGTGAGCTGAAGTACCATCAGAGTCTGCAAAAATTCACTCTGCCCTTTGATTTAGATACAGCTGCTAAGAATCTTTTAACTTCCAACACCACCAGCGCGATCGCAAAGATTACGATGGAGTTGAAGATTCTGATAGCACGGTAGCGCTGAAATATCGCGTTATCCGAACGTTGGCATCCGGCACGACTGTTTCCGTGGTGCAGCGACTTGTCGGTCGTCGATTCATCGAGCAAAATCGAGTTGTGGGTATTTGGAAAACATACACGGAAGGCGAGGGGGCGTTTCGCGGCATGCACTCGACCCAAACAGGATGGAGTTGTCTTCGGCCGATGCCAGACGGATCAGGAACAGTAGGTGAAGTGTGTGTTCGTCAGAATCCTGTCCTCTTCAACGCTTCTCCATCAGCAGCCCGTGAGTTTTATCGATTTCTCCAGGCTTCTCTTGATGAGGACAAGCATGAGACGCTTACTGTGATTCATAAAAGTCTGCCGGAACGATTTGTCGCTTTATAGGGCCTCAGGTTTAAATGGTAAAGGAAAGTGTATTATCGTGGTTCGTTCAGTAATCGCTAGGAAGTATTAGTATATTTTTTTTAGGGGCAAAATGATTGGGCTCGACAGCAGATCGTTCAGAATGGATCTTGCCAGAAGTTGTTGAGCGGTAAGTATTCTCTTGAGCAACTTGTTGCTGTGCTCTACGCGCTGTCGGTGCCGTAGTTGAGTAATTGCAATAGGCTTTCAATGTGACGTACAGCGTGCTGCATATATTTGGACACGTCGTCGAGCCTTTTTTCAATCTCAGCGTCAAGTGCCGAGACCTCTCGTCGCAAGTAGTCAGTTTGACGTTCAAGCTGGCGTTGGTTGGAGTTACATGTAGAATTACTGGGATCTCGTGGAATTGCATCTGTTCTGGTTGTTATTGCTGGTGAAATTGAAGAATGGGAGGACGATTTCACTTATACATGTAGAGCGAGGGCTGAGTTAAGACAAAGTCGAGTCTATCGTAATCTTTTTCTCGTACTGTATATGATACAATCCACACTCATATCGTACATGTAGTTGTGCTATTAATACATGTACATGTAGTAGTCTGTGTTGAGTGCAACTGCGACGTCTTGCAGTACCCAGTGAGAGGCAAGTAGATATTTGCTTCGAACACGAGACCGACATCCATGGCATTCCGTCGCGATTGTGTGACATACACTGGCGTCCGGAAGGTGTTTCGAAGCTTGAGTCGACTGGCCTCAATGAGAATGACTAAGCAGCTCTTCCACGAGTTGCTTGGGCTTTTGTGGTGCGAGACACCACGCTCGAGATCCCAGGATGCGCCTTCGAGGAAAAGTCCCTTGACGTAGCACCCGGCGTCGTCTTTCACGCCGCCCAGCACTGGCAGTTGTATCCACGGCATCCAGGTCATCACTCATACCGATTTCACCCACAACAGCCTTCTGGAGATCTCCGAGAGACACGCCCATACGATATGCGAGTAAATTCCAGCGGTCGAGTTCTCGAAGAAGCACAACCTGAGTTGGTGTAGGTGTCGATCCCATTTTCTTTCGAACATGGTCCACGTCGATTGGTTCCGGTACTTTTGACTGAATATCGCTTGCCACGTTGCCAATGGGATCTTCGCGTGAGACACGGATTGAGCCGACCGAGGCTGCAGCGAGTTTTTGACATGTTGGTGTAGTACCCAATCTCGGCATTGGGATGCAGACCAAACACTGTACGACTGTTAGTTAGCGGCAACGTCTCGGCCGTAGAGACGTAGGCTTCCAGCTGCAGTGACAATGTGTTTGAGTTGTCATCCAGTGCACCAGGAAGCACATAAATGAACTTGATCGGCTGAAGTAGAATCGCTGGCAATTGTCGAAGAGGAAGTCGCCCATGTACTCGGATAAGTTTAACCTATATAATCACACCCCATTGTCTACTCAATACGATGCCTGCGAAGATGCTTTTAATCCGCGTCGAAAGCCAAAACGCTACTCGACGTGCGCGACCTCTTTGAAGCGCTTATTGCACCGAAGACCGAAGTCGTCAAGTACCGCCAAGCCGAGGCAGAGATCGTCAAAAGACCTGGCTTTGAGCGACGGGGAGCGCAATTATCTCACAATACTCATTCTCCTTACAAAATCCTATGTATCTCTTGCAATATGGCCAATTATTGCAGTCACCTCTGACTGATAATTTTTTTCGTATTGCTGAATCCTCCTACAAAATAATAACAGAATTTTTCGGAGCCAGTCTTGAGAAATCAACCGGATACGGAATACTGTACCTAGAGCGTCGCCAGTATTTTGGGAGGTATCTTCTGCTCAATCCGCCTCATAGAGCTGGATTTGCAAGTTGGTGGCAAGCGGAGCCAAATCCAGAATGTCCCTGATCGATTGTAAAAAATCTCCATATGCAAACTCTGTTCTCCTTCAATAGGTAGTTACGTGCTTGCGCGTCTGAAAAGGATCGCCTCCAAATAGAGCTCTGAAGAGCTTGATGTAACTGAATAAAAAGGGGATTGCTGTCGATTTAAGAGAGGATATGTTCCATATATCTGGTACACTGCTGGATTTCATTGATTACACTCGATACCGTTCAAAATGATTGTCCATGCCGATTTCACCACATAAGTCACTGTACGGTATTTTAATAGAGTTCAGAGCGGTCAGTGCTCAGCACCTGTCGACTGCTAAGACATCTCAATTCGCCCAATGGCGCTAACAATGTCGTCAAGCTCCGAGGAGGATTTTCTACTGGACGAGTTGTCTGTGTTGGCGTTCCTGGCGGACTGCGAGATGGAGAACGAAGCTATCGCATCCGCTGCAGCGTCAACGCCAACAGAGTGCGACGCACTCGCAACTACGTGGTCCGACAGCTGCAGCTCCGTCAGCTCACCCAACAAACCACCAGTGAAGAAGTCGTGGCGACAGCGACGCAAAGACGAGGTCTTGCATCTGCGTGAGGTCGTCAAGGAGCTCTCTGCCGAATTGGAGCGGCTAAAACTGGCGGCAGGAGTGCAATCCACGCTGCCAAATGCAACTAGAACACCTAAAACAGTACACCAAACACAAGTAGGTCACAAAACAGAGGCATCCTTGATGTGGGAGAAGATCGCGGGGCGGCAATCGACACTGCGACAACGCAGCGAACAAGAGAACGCCAAGCTGCGTGAAGCCGTGACGCGCCACTTGCAACAGGCCAAGAGTCTGCAGCGAGCGATCAAGCGGAAACTTCGAGAAGATCTCACGTCGTCGTCGCTGGATTTTATCCAACGGAATTGTTTGGATGCCAGAGGACTGACGCCACCTCTTGACAGTAAACAGGTCTTCGATAAGCTCCTACAGGGGATGGACAGTGTGTATCAGGGAGTGGATGCGTTCTTTGAGCATACAGGGATGTATACCCTGCCGTGTCCAGGACGGAGGAATAATACCGCCAGCAGTAGAGTCTCTAAGGGCGTCTTTGTGGAGTTTCTAGACAGCTACGCACTGCCATTTGACGTGCAACAGACAACGAATGCGATCTGGACACTTGAGAAGGATCGGACCATCAATGATACGCTCTGCTTTATGCAGGTACGGTATAGCTTCATGGAATCTAAATTGTCGACTTGATTGTAAATCTTTTTTTTAGTCTTTTACAGAAGGGGACAATACTCAGATGCAGAGTATGAATTGGTTCGGTTGTGCGAGAACGCACCATACCCTTATAAGACATCCTTTTGAATAAATACACCGAGAATGGCCGAACGGTGTTCGTTAAGCGGACGTTGATTCAGCCAGTATACGAGGATATGTCCATCTCGCTCATTGAGACAAGTCGCCAGGTCTTGAAGCGTGGAGATCTGTCGACGCTGGGACCCACGACGGTGATGCAGACGCACCGCGAAGCGACACTCCACGGAGATCTTACCGCTCTTGATGTGACGAAATATCCCACATTGGACATTGGCGTTAAGAACTGGGAAGACAACATCACCAAATACAACAACAGAGTCGAGGATCAGCTAGTCCGGGCAATGAGTTAATAATAGTAAGTATCATTTTGTTTGACGCAGTCATATATAATGCATCGACCATTTTACGCTCTTCGTTGTGTATTTTAAAAGTTTGTCATGAGATTTCAGCAAATTTTTTGGAGTTGGTTTTCAAATAATCAGCCAGCCTACGTCTGCGATAGTTTCTTCTGCGTAAACGTGCGTTCTCCACGACATGATTACTCGTAGGTACGCCTTGATTTTCTAGTAGTGTAAACTAAGGTCTACGAAGTCTGTACTTCGTAGTGTGTTTGTGTCTTATACTCAAATCTTGTCCATTCGATCAGCAAAATGGCGATTCGATTTCTGTTATTTGATGTCGCTTAACCTCATCCTACCTAAGACATAGTTTCGAAAATTAGGCGAACTATAATTTACTACTTCGTAGTAGTCATTATTTCAAAATTTAATACTGAATCAGTAATACTGATATAGTATGTATTTTATTTAATGGACCAGTCATTATTAGAAAAATGTAGTACCGAATCAGTTATACTGATACATCACTGATATTTTTGAAACAGAGAGATCCATGTTGGATGGCCATACGGCTTCAAGAAATTGGGGATCCTAGAAAGCAGCCGTCGCTTCGACAGCATGTTACGTTGCATTAGCTTCCTTGTGTGGAGTATACTGCCTGTGCAGTTATCAACAAGAAACATGTTTACCAGCTACATGTAGTCTGTGGCACAGACTGCACAGACTCTGTGCTGAGCTCACCATTTCCCCAAATCCAGTAAGAACCAACCAAACCTGACACTGCCACTTAGGGCCGTTCTTAGCCAAAAAATAACGGTGGATTGTGCTTCCATGGCCCAATCATTTCACTTGGATCCATATGGCAGTGGACGCCGTATGGTCCGTTTGATCCACGTCCACTGTGTGAAATTAGGGTTGGTGGCCGTGGACGGAAGGTGGATGGGAGGAGAGACATACCTGACGGGATAGAACGACACCTTTGGCTGGAGTTTATACAGCTCATTCCATCAAGTCTCCTGAAGCACTCAGTCCACATCAGCAACCAACGGTCCCCTGTCAATCTATAGCCATGTCCTCCTCCTCCGTTATGTCTCCTCGTTTGCCTTCACCTAAGGCATCTCCAACTACCGCTACATCTGACGGCGGCATTCCCGCGACTGCATCGACTATTGGTGATGTCATGTACAACGGCACCATGAATCTAGAGGAAGCCGAATCGTGTCTGATGGCATTTGGAGCTAAACAACTTCGCACAGAGTGTTACCTTCGGCAGCTACGTATCGTTAAAAAAGGCCCGGACGCCAACGACCACAAGTCAGGATATGTTGCGTTATTAATGCAACAGAAGCGCGCGTTCAGCAAGATGCAACGTCTAGGTGTGGAGGAAGGTCCGGCTAAACGCGGTGTAGTGGGTAACAAACGTCGTACTCGCCACTGCATGCTACGGCTTTTGAATGTCATGTTTTCGGATTTATTTGCACACCGGCTTCATGAAATTGACGCTAGAGCAACCAGGGCCGAGTTGGATACAAACATGACTCAAGAAAAAAGCACCTTTTGGACGGATTTTCACTCAGCGTACTTGAGTTCGCGTCCAGAATTCAGCAAGCTTGTTTCACCTCTGGCAGTATTCGAAAAATGCAATCCTGAGTTCACCGTTCCTCACGAAGCTGCAAAATTACGAAATATGTGGAAGGATATTACTGGTCGTTATGCTACTGCTGTGGCGAACTCTCAAATTATAGGCGTGCACGACAATGATTTCTTTTCTTTCTGCTCCGGAAAAATCGACGTCCTGTACATGCGTGAGTGGATGCGTGAAAAACCTGGTTTGTTGGAGTCCGTAGAAGGGAAACTGCCAAAACGTGCTCGTTTACATACCATGGAGGGAGGTAGTGACAGCGACGACGACGAGGTTGGAGGATCTCGTCAATCAAAAAAACAACGTACTCGCTCGAAGAAAGGGAAGTCAAAAGTGAAAGAGATCAATTTGAGCGATATTCTTACGACAATGCAAGCCAATAACGCCTCGGCTCAGGCGCTTGAGCTAGACTGTCGCTTGGCACAGCTGATGAGCTCTTTGAATTCGCTCATGGAGCTTAGAGAGCGGATTCTTCGTGCTCCAGAGGGAATATATACTCATGACGACCTAATGGAGGTAAACGAAGACATTGAACAGGTTCGTGCAAAGAAGAAGGCTCTTATAAGAAAATAACAAATAAAGTGTGTCAAGATCAGTATTTCTATTTAGTTGTTTACACTCCGATTGCGTGAAATGTTGTACTGAGGCCGAACAGTGTTATTAGCGCGAAGGTGCTGAACAATATAGTCTCTCATGTAGCTGTTACCCTCTTCAACAACAAGATCACTTGACATGTAACCCATGAGATTGGCAACGTCATTTAATCTTTGCACTCTTTGCGAGACGCGAATGGGTTGAACCGACTCGTCAAATAAACAATAGTCGGCATCAGATATTATACGTCTGTTAATCACGTAGTTATGCAGCACCATAGCTGTGTAAATTGTAGTGGTAGCATTTAAAAGGTTCCGTGAGATAGGAGATCGAAATACCCGCCATTTTGTAGTCAAAAGACCAAAAGCCATTTCAATTCTGATTCGTATTTGACTAGCATGGAAATTGAATGAGTCGTGGTACTCGTCAACAATTTGATTGCGTGTAAATGGCGTGATCAAATGCTCACTCACAGGATACGCATTGTCGCCGATGATATACATTCCTGTAGGAAATGATTTGAGACTTCTCGCCACACCAGTCCCACGAAAAGCACGTGCATCATTTGTACTTCCTGGATAGCTGGCATCCACAGATATGAAGCGACAATGCGCATCGCACACGGCCTGCACATTGATACCAGGACATGCATAGTGTCCACTATAATAGCGTCCAGTTCCTACGTCTCCAGCGTCTTCAGCTGAAGGCGCCTTAATAACACATAGCCATCCGTCTACGCAGCCGACACAACCGCTTATTATTCCACTGGAGCTGATAGCCTTAAAGTCGTTCATCACAACCTCTCTGTCCGATTCAGAATCAGGAAATACGATTTTCAATTCTCGTAGACCGAGAATCGCGAACATTGTCTCGTTAATGACGCGGTAGTAAGAAGATCCACTAATTCCCACAGTACGGCGAATATCAAGATACGAACCACCAGCTAAATAACGCAGTGTAGTCATGAGCATAAGTGGAGGCGATATTGGTTCTTCCCCGCTCGAGTTGGCAGATTGCTGTCTATTAACCTCAATATTTGGTGTTAAGAGCCCCAACAGGTACGAAAAACTGTCGGCAGTCATTCGAAAGGTTCGCTCGAACATGTTTTCATTCAACAGCATCTCAATTTCGAGATCAACATCGATGCGATGACGCGAGTAGCGCGAGTTCCGTGTTCGTGCTTGCAATAGAACGAACAGCAGCAGTATCGTTTGGACGTTGGCTCGATCGCGAAGACGACGAGTGATCGCTATGATCTCGCTGGGTGTGCGCATTTCGTTGCGATAGTGGAAGAGAACAAATGCAAAGCGATCAAAGTGATACATCGCAGCTATAGGCTAATATTAGATGTCAACCACCCCTCCTTCAACCTTAGCCACTAAGGCCATCCACTAGTTTTAAGTTTGTTCTTAGCCGAATCAAGCACAAAAGGTACCATCCACCTTAACTCTCATCCACTTGCAAGAAATCGGCTAAGAACGGCCCTTATATGGCTTCCATGAGGTTTCGTTAGCGGCCTAATTTGGCATTTTAGAAACAAAGACATACATGTATCTCGCTCAGTTGCGTGGGCAAACGATGGATTCGGGTCTTGCATTACATCTGCTATGCTGTTCGACCATCAAACGGAATGTCGCCAAATCGATTTGCTTTTAGTGCCCGTCGTACTTATATCAATAGCACTTCGTTAAACAATTTACTACTAACAATATCGCTCGCTGCACGAAGATTTAAGCTGTAATAATTTTTCAATGACCACGGTCGCTCATTTTTTCAACTGATGTACGCGGCTTGGAATATATATTTGCTGTTTCCTAGGGAGCCGGAATTGAATCTCCGACTTGTGAACCTGTTATGATTACTATTTTTGCTGAGTATTAATAAGGAATGTTACGCAGTATGATTCGTAATACCTCAAGGTATTAATCTCCCTTTACCTTAGTACTAAAAGTATCATGACAACCTTGTATTAAGGTACTCGTTACATCCCGGAGTGGTTCGTGCAACCTTAACTTAAAGTTGTTTTAGCCAATCTGAGACAAATATGGTTGCTGTATTTCAGTTTCAAAAATTTCAAGGAAACTTATTTCTCTAAATTACCGTATTCGCTTAGATACGAATTTGAAGTGATCACGTTAAGTACGACAGCGGAGGACCTCATATTTCCAGAACTGCACGACGCCAGAAGCATCCAGACCTCGGGCGGCGCGATCGGTAAGCCCTGCACAGCAGGACCGCACACGGAAGCGCGAGGAGAGTTCCATCCGCAGGCCTCCAAGAAGACTCGCTTATGAGTGAGGCAGAGGGTGCGCCGTAGGATGAACTGATCTGCTGCAGATACTGTTTTAGAATTTTCTAACCTTTCTTGTACAAACATTTTAGGGCGGGCCCTGCGAAAGGGAAATCAGACAGAGCTGAACTACATGTATGCCGCTCTTGGCATGGAAAAGGACGACAGCAGCGATGCCAACTTTCTGCCAGACGACAGCGAAGAGACTGAAGACGTCGACCAGTCTTCGGATGACTTGGATGATCCTGCCCAACAGAGTACGATGGAGACGTCATTTTATGTGAAACGTTAATGGTTCTAACAGCGTATATGTTGTGTGCTAGGTCGCAAGGGGAAATCGCAGATAAAGAGGGCCAGAAAGATGCAGCAAAAGCCGTCCAGTACGTTGGATATTGTTGCTTTAACATTATGGTTGCCATTAATTGAGGCACTCACCACATCTTCACCACATCTGTTAATGTTGTTTTTAGCAATCGGGAAGGGGAAAGTGTTTTGCGGCGCAAAACGCCTGCACTCACCGCACGTCTCCACCGAGGAGCGAAGCTTTTCTCCTCACTATTCGCCTCCCCCCTTTAAGAAAGAGAAAACTGTGTCAGAAGCACCCCTTGCAAACATTCCGAGGGACAAGACGGCAAAAGACTGTAAGAAGGACATTGCTATACCGGAGGCGACGCGCCCGGAGTATGTTCCTCGAAAACGGTCAAGCAAACACATTGACGAGTTGAAGTCCATGCAATTGGACCGTGAGGAGATCATCAACGTTGTTCCGCCGTTTCCCTCTCTCCCTATCCACAGCTGGGAAGAGTTTGACAAGGTGCTTGAAACCTACAAGGACCAAAACAATCTCAAGTTCCGGGTTCGAAGCTCGCAAACTACAGTGTGTTACAACAGGTAGTTTTTGCTTTTGCTTTTTACGTGCTAAAACCTAACTCGTGAATGTGTTGCTTTATTGTGTAGTACAAACGACGATCAGATACCCACCGACTTTCAGTGGGCCAGCAGAATCTTTCGCTGTACACACGGGGTTTCACAGAGCTCTCGCTCTAAAGGACACCGCAACCGCAAGATTCGCTATTGCGGGTGCAACGCTCGGTTTACAGCCGTTGTGATCCGGACATCTACGGAGGGTTTTACTATCAAGATTCGCAACGAGGTTTGCTATCGGATATTATGGGTGTTATTATAGTTACCAACCGCTATCTGCTTTGTCCAGAATCACACCCATTCCCACCCTACCACTGCGTCTGAAGCTTCGTCATATCTGACGACTAAGACCTTACCATTGGACGAGCAGGATCGTGAGGACGTGAAAACCTTGGCGGATGCACGTGTTTCTTCGAAGCACATCTCCAGCTTTTTGAATGAGCGGATTGGTATGTAAGCCAGATTTTTTTTTTAATTAACACGTCTGCTACTATGTTCTTCGTATGACTGTAAATCTGTATATGTAAATAATAGGCTGCCAGGTTACTCCACAGCAGACCCGCAACCTCATTCGCAATATCATGGGGAGGGATTCTGCTGAAATCCGATTGAAGGACATGCTGCACGCGCTGCGCCAATTGGATGGCAGTGATGTTCTCGTGATGCAAGACCAAATTGGCATTACAACCGGGATCGTTTTGCAGACAAAAGTGCAGAAGCTAATGTTCGAGCGATGGCGTGAGACGTTAGCGATGGATTTTACCCACGGAACGAATAATCTGGGCTATCATCTGGGTGCGTACAGCTATGGTTGCTGTAACTTTATTCTGATGTATAACAACCTTATCTACTTAAAGTTGCTGTATGATTAACTCAACTTTGTTTTGGTTTTGACCTTTAGGAAGTTTGGTTGTCACCACAGCTACGGGTCGAGGGTTTCCGGTTTTTGATTTTATTTGTCTCAACGAGCAAGCACTGACAATGTCCAGAATTTTGGACTACTTCAAGGAGAAGAACTCGGGCTGGAAGCACATTCAATCGGTGGTGATTGACAAAGATTTTGTTGAGTGGGGCGTATTAAAGGATGCCTTTCCGAGAGCCAAGGTTCTATTATGTCAGTTCCATGCGATTAGTTACTGGAAGAAGGTAATGAAGCGTCCGTTGTATCGCCTAAGAGTTTCGCAATGTGAGGAACTGCTGGTCCAAATGATGAAACTACTTTACAGGTGAGTAAGGTTGCTTTTCACCGTGTATGTGGAGGCTAATTTGTGATTGCCTTTGATTTATGTTAGTACCTCTAGTACCAGATACAACTTCTACTACGATGCAATGCGGCAGTATTGTAAGGACCAGAAGCGCGAAGCCTTTTTTGCGTACTTCGATAAAAACTGGAAGTCGTGCCGTGACATGTGGGCCAATTTTACTAGAGGGAAGGCTTTTACTGCTGGCAATACCACAACGAATAGGATCGAGTCAAACTGGAATCAAGTCAAGATGCTGCTTGGTCACAAAACGAGAATTGACAAGACTATTGCTGGGTTGCTTCAGCATCAAATGACAATTACGCAGAAAATTGTTTTCACTATTGGACATCAGCACTCAACTTCACGTGCTCCTACGACGGTGCCAAAGTTTTTGCGAGCTGTGGCTAATAGACTGTCTGCGGATATATTTTCGACGGTCAAGAAGGAGTGGGAGCGCTTCGTCAACCTTATGGCAGGCGCTTCGTGCAAACGAGTTGCTGGAAGTGTTTCGTTTTGGAAGGTCAACTGTGGGAATGAAACATTTGTGTGCAACGATGGAGAATGGACATGTACCTGCTTATTCTTCAAGAGTCATCATCTACCTTGCCGACACATGATGCATTTGGCAGAATCTGGACTCCGGCTCAATATGTTACCTGTTACTTCGATTGACAAACGATGGAGTTTGTCGGTGGCCTTTGAAACAAAAGAAGACCTTGCTGCGGCGGCCGACTTACTGAAACCTATTGTGCAAATGTCCAAGTTAAGGTCGCCGAAAGTAAAGTTGCCGGAGGATGACAAGGTTGCGGAACAAAGTGATGATCACGGATCCTGTATGACAGCTTCTAAGATACCCAAAGAGATTGCCTACGTTCGCCTTCACAGGAAGGAGCGTGCCAACCAAGTGGTTTTGTCGTCGTATTCATACGCAAAAGCAGTGTTAGAGCATCTGCTGGAACATTTATCGTGTCTATCAAGCGCTGATTTCTATCAAGAACTCTCTGCCTGGAAGGACACGGTGGAGATTGGTCTCAACCGCGAAGTCAATGGTAATCGCGATGACGGTAGTAGTAACGAAGACGATGACGATCAAGACGATTTCTCCTCGCTTGACCCACTTGAGGCAATGGAAACAGCGAAACTTATGGACGAGCTAGAATCCGCTTCGCCCTCTACAGAAGCCTGCACGGATAGTGGAGGTGCATCTGAGTCTGAAGCATCTGAGTCTGAAGGGGACAGTGCAAACCCAGAACGCGTCAATGATACTTCTAATATGTCGCCGCCAGATCCGGAAGTACCAACAATTGCAAGCCGTGCTGTTGATATCATAAGCCTTCCTCGGCCGAAACGTCGCGGTAATTCCAGGGTGACGACGAAGCAGCTCCGCCAAACTACGTTGACATCCGGTCAACCCCGTCTAGCTATTCACAAATACCTAGCTGGGCTTACTGTGACTCTTGATCGCTTTGTACGTTGGGCAAGGAGCACGGAAAACTTGAAATTCGTCATGGATACACTTGCCAAGTATCCAGTTCAGCTTGAAGATCCCTATTTGAGAGCCCGTAGCATCGAGTGTCGGTGGGAAGCAATGCGGCACACGGACTACATGCACGCATTTGCAGTTCCAATTGATATCAGTCGACCACTCCAAGCCGCCGTCACG